TGTAGTTCCAGGGCCACTCCTTGTCCCCCTCCAGCAAGACGGGGTGGGGTGGGGGATGATGTTGACAGATGCAGCTCCCAGAGTGTTGGGGCTCAGACAGGTGCAGAGGTGGGATGGGCAGCAGCAGGGCCAACCCAGCCTCCCCTGCAGCACAAGCCACAGAGTCCCTCCGTGCTCTGACCTGTCCTCTCTCAGCTGGACTAAGAGCGGTCCTCCTCAGCCCTGTGGACGGCAGATCCAAGGCTGAGTGGACGGTTCCCCCTTATGTCCCACGGGTGCAGCGTGGTCTCTGGGTCCCTGCGCCTCCTCATCTGGGAGATGTGTGAGAGCACACAGGTGCTGGTCACAGTTCTGCTGTTTTTGCCTTTGCGTGGTGCCCCGTGGCCCCTAGGGTGGCCCTGCTCCTATGCCACCTTCTGGCACCTTCGTCTCTCTTGAGTCCTGAGGGCCCCAGCAGAGTGGCAGATCCCCAGCAGGCTGCAGGCCGCCCTGGTGGATGTACCAGTGGTCTCTCAGGCTCTCCCTCTGGCTGATCTCGGGCAGTCAGGACACCTGCCATGACAGGATGTCTCTCGTCCCTCTTTGACGCAGTGGCAGGGCCCAGGAGAGTTTTCTGTTGAAGACATCAGCGAGAGATGAGAAAGGTTCTTTCCCCTCCTCAGGAGTCGGTACTCCCAGTGATGGGTGGTTAGGTATGTGGGATGGCGCTTCGACCCAAAGCATGCTCAGGATTAGTCTTAAAAACTTAGATTGTGACATGGGCGCTATTTGTCACACCACACAGCAGCTCGCCTGCGCCCTCCACGCACACGCACGCACACGCACGCACTCACACACACACAGGAGGTCACGGCGAAGGGTTTGGGGTGCTCAGTCTTGCCGGGAAGAGCTCCAGTCAGCAGGGAATAGACATGGCGAGTACCTAGGGAGCAGCTGGCACCATGGCCTGATTGCTGGAGACGTCTCTTGGACTTCCAGGACCCGAATGTTCTGGTTTCCCTTTCCACCAGCCTAATGCAGACCTTCTCATGGTTTACTGTCCCAGGTGGCTACTGAGAGTGCATGGGAGACCCCCAAAACGCCCCCTGCACCGCCACTCTGGGAAGGCCAGAGGGCCTTGGCAAGGCCCCGCCAGCAGCCAGGGTGCTGTGGCAAGTCAGGCTGAAGGGAGTGGGCACAGCAGTGAGAGTGGGCAGCAAGGACAGAAGTCACAGTGGTAGAGGGACAGGGACATGGGGTCGAGGACAGTTGTGTTAGAAGTGAGAGCTAAGGGAACGCGCAGGACATGGTGAGGACCGTGGGGAGCACGTGCTGCAGGACTGTGTGGTGCAGCAGGCGTGCAGGCTGGGTGGGGCGTGGAGCACTGAGCCAAGGCCACCGGAAGCAAGTACAGGAATCTGGTTCCCTGGAGGGGGTCCCAGAGGGTGTGGGCACTGGGGACAGGCCTGCTGGGGTGCTCTTCTGACCGGCAGAGTTTAGTCTTTGTTCTTGTTTTGGTTTTTTGCTGGCGCAGCACTGGACACATAGTTGGAGTTGGGGTGTCGGGGGGAAGGTAGGGGAGAGGAGGGAGCAGAGTGGGATTCGCAGGGGTGGCAGCGTCTCCCGCACCTGCATTGTGCGCCAACGCCGGATGCCGAGGAGCCGAGGGGAGCACTGGTCCCTGGGGCCGGGGTGGAGCATCCCGCCGCTGGCAGCCTGACCAGGCCCCTGAGGAAGGGCGACTGAGTGACAGGGAGCTGTGCAGGCCTGGCCAGGACGCTGAGGCCACCCAGGGGATTGGCGTGGCCACTGCCGGTGCAGGCGACAAGCAGGCGGACGAGGCCAAGCATGGAAGCTTTTGGAGGCTAGAGCTAAAAGGGAGCCAGGACTGCATGGGCAATCAGGACAGCGACAGCACCAAGCCATGTGATGTGTTGAGTGGGGGTCTGTGGCACCGTCACCTGAGACACATCCCCAGGGGAAGCCAGGTCGCAGCTGTCCCTCGGGTGGCACAGATCAGCGAGAACAGGCTCCAGTGTGCTCTCCAACCGGATTTCCCTCTGGGGCTCAGGGGCACAACGCAAGGACAGGCTTCGGCAGGGTCTCTCACAGGTGGCCATCCCAGGCTGGACAGGTCTCTGTTGTGGGGCTGCACCATGTGTTCTGGGATGTTACCCAGCATCTCTGGCTCCCAGCACTGGACACTCACAGGGGTGCCACTCTGCTGTCCTGACACAGTCTGCCTCACTGAGAACCTGTGGAGCCCTGAGTCCAGCCCCGCCCGCAGCACGGTGGCATTCATGTGGAAGGCTCAGGAAGTGCTGGTGGCTCTGGCTCTGATGGTGCCATGACAGTGGGGGTGAGGCGGCGGGCACTGCTTCCTCCAAGAGTCTCGGGGCTCTTCCCGAAGGACAGGTGTTCCCAGATGAGACTGCCATGTCCCTCTCAGTCATGGGTGATGGTCAGCAGTTGGAAGGGACGGAAGGCAGGAACCGACAGGTGTCGTTTTGGTCCCAGGATACAAGGTCAGTGCCAGTTGAAGTTCCAGACCCAGCTGTGATGATTGCTCTGTGCGCGTGCAGGGAAGGTGGACGCAGACACAGTGATTGCCTTCGTGTGGGCTAGTTCCTTCAAAAATGGCCTATCTATGTCTCTTTACTAGTAGAAGTTAGTGTTGGACAAGATTGGTACGTGGTTTCTTTTTGGGTGGCTGAGAGATAAGTGAGCTGGACACGCACACACAGCGTGATTTCCCGGGCTCCGTGGTCGGTCTTGCTGTGGCAAAGGTGGAAAACAGGCGTGAGCAGGCATGGCTTCAACCCTGCCCCGCTTTGCTCACTGTTTCTCATGGATGTGGATGGTTCTGCAGAGGGGCACACTTGGAACATCTCAGAAAGCCACAAGAGGTGTGAAGAACAGCAATGGCTGCAACATTTAGGAGCTGGGAGAGCACAGGCAGTGAGGACCACGTGGACCACACGCTGTAGGACACATGCAATGGTGACAGGTGGACCACGTGCCATGGGACATACACAGTGAGGTCCATGTGGACCGCGTGCTGCGAGAATAGACCACATGTGTTTTGGGCACTAATAGCCTCCAAAAACCACACACACACACACAGCTGCTGTGTCCACGATATCCCTCATTAGGACCACAGGACTTGTTGGTGTGTCCTCGATGTGTTTATAAAGGCTCTGTCGTGTCCAGAAACACTGGCTAACAGAGGGAGTGGATGGCTGGCTTTGACCTCTGTGTGCCCAGCACACCCTGCTCCCAGGAGGGAAGATGAGCCCAGCCAGCTGCTTGCAGACATAGGCAGCTGAGCCTTGACAGCTGCAACTGTGGGGTCAGTAGTTGCGAGATGAGACGTGTCGGTGTGTGGGGACAGAAGGAGGACACACATGTGGGTGGCAGTGGACATGCTGAGCTGAGTGGGAGCATGCCTGAGAGAGGGAGAGATAAAACCCAATGACAGCCCCTCCTAGCAGAGGGCAGAGGTGCCTGCCTGGGAGAAAAGGGCCTTTGCAAAATCAGACTGAACCAAGAGGCTCCTCAAGGCGGGACCACTGAGCTGAAATCTGTGTACCCTTGCCTGGGCACTGCAGCCGCGGAGCAAGGCCCAGGGCTGACCAGATGTAGGGCCCAGAGCCAAGCAGAAAGGGGAGAAAGCTGCCCGTGAGTTCAAAGGTCACAGTGAGAGATGCCCCCTTGCCCACCCTCTGCTGACTTTGCCTCACTTGAGTGACGGGGGTTGGCATGTTCTCCCGTAGCCGTGCCATGGTGCTCTCTGGGGCTTCCCCCGAGCCTGTCCTGTCCCAACCACTTCTGTGCTGGTCATGCTATCTTAGCACCAGCCCCTGTCCCGTCCTAACCATTTCTGTGCTGGTCCTGCTATCTTAGCACCAGTCCTTTGGTCTTCACTTTGGTCAAGATTGAAATGGATGTAACGGAGTTTGGCCTGCAGTGAATAGCATGTGGGCAGTGCCCCCTTCTCTGCGCCTCCAATTGCTGCTCCTGTATGCTGGCAAGACCCAGAAATACTGCACTGACCCTCAGCCAAGAGTGCTGTCCCAGGGGTCAGCCTGCGCAGCAAGGCACTTTGTGTGTCCCTGGTGACCCCACTTCTTTTATTTATTTTTTTTGACCCTACTTCTTAAATGACACAAGTGGGGGTGCTTCAAAAAGTCTGTGGAAATGGGATGGAAAGCCAAGTCTACTTTGATGCAAAAAATTTTTTAAATCCAAAGAGTTTATTCTTAATACGCTTTTTTAAATTTCGTGTTCTATTAACTACCTTTTAATTCCACGTTCCATGAACTTGTTGAAGTGCCCCCCCCCATACATGAAGGTAATTTTGGCAAGAGAAAGTCGCAGAAGTCTGAGGCATAAACACCACATCCCCCAGATGCCAAGTCACACAGGACAGGAAGCGCTGGGCTCTCAGTAGCTTCAGGGAGATGTACAAATGAGAACTGTGACGGGGCTGGTGGCGCATGGGAACAGCTCACGGCACATGTGGTAGTGGGGCCCTGCTGTGTGGCGTTGACAGCATGTGGCACTCACGGCCCAGGTGATGATATGGGAGTGTGTGGCACGCACAGCCCTGGTGGTGATATGGGGGCAGAGGGCCTGTGGCGCACAGCCCAGCAGGTGGTGACGTAGGGCGCTATGACATGCACAGCCCATGTGGTGACAGGACTGTGGCACATACAGCCCGGGTAGTAACAGCAGGGGCCTGTGGCACGCACAGCCAGTGGTAACATGGGGGGCCTGTGGCACGCACAGCCAGTGGTAACATGGGGGGCCTGTGGCACGCACAGCCAGTGGTAACATGGGGGCTGTGGCACGCACAGCTGGTGGTAACATGGGGCCTGTGGCACGCACAGCCGGTGGTAACATGGGGGCTGTGGCACGCACAGCCGGTGGTAACATGGGGGGCTGTGGCTTGGGCGCCCTGCAGCCTCCTCATCCTCCAGGCACTCACCTGGTGTTCCTTTGCTTTTCCGGTGCGGTAACAGACACGGGGCTGGGCGATTCGGTGTGTTCCAGCCCAGGCATCTCCAGCAGCACCAGCCCCAAGCTCGACCCGCCCCCCTCCCCTCACGCCAACAGAAAGAAGCACCGCAGAAAGAAAAGCACCAGCAACTTCAAGGCCGATGGCCTCTCCGGCACCGCAGAAGGTAAGGCCCCGGGCGCCCCCAGCAGCCCCTGGGCTCCTACAGACCCATGGATGGGGTGCAGCCCACTTGCCCCTGGGATGAGTAGGCCCTGCTGTGGTGTGTGTGTAGGGGCTGTCCTGGGATGGCTCTCTGGTCCCTCGGCCCAGTCCTTGGTCCTTCCCCAAAGCCTGGCTCTTGTCTGAGTTCTGTAGTCCTGCCACACCTGGGCAGGCTGGGGTGCCACGTCCTCCCCACCAGGCAAGCCACGCTGTCACCTGGGCAGGCTGGGGTGCCACGTCCTCCCCGCCAGGCGAGCCACGCTGTCACCTGGGCAGGCTGGGGTGCCACGTCCTCCCCACCAGGCAAGCCACGCTGTGTCACCTGGGCAGGCTAGGGTGCCACGTCCTCCCCACCAGGCAAGCCACGCTGTCACCTGCGCAGGCTGGGGTGCCACGTCCTCCCCACCAGGCAAGCCACGCTGTGTCACCTGCGCAGGCTAGGGTGCCATGTCCTCCCCGCCAGGCGAGCCACGCTGTCACCTGGGCAGGCTGGGGTGCCACGTCCTCCCCGCCAGGCGAGCCACGCTGTGTCACTCTGATAAGGATGACCCTCTTTCCTAACCCAGGGTCTCGGGCCTTGGTTCCCTAAGACAGCAGCGCCTCGGCTGTCGCAGTCAGCAGCGCCCCCAGGAGACTGGCTCCTCTGGCAAGCGGCCTCTCAGCACATTTTTGCTGCATGGGTCTCCGTTCCCCTTGACCTTGTCAAGTTCTGGTTCTCAGGGATGTCTGACAGGACCTGTGTGAGCGTCCCTCCCAGCATATTTGTGTTTGGTATTGCACAGGTGGAACTGGGCACACACCATGGTGAGAGGTAGAGTTAACACCTTGTGGTAAGGATGTTGAGGACAGCATTGCACAGGGCACGAGGACTCCGGAGTGCAGCCGGGGCCGCGCGTCTCAGAGCCACGGGGCTGGCACAGTCTGTCTGCAGCTTGCTGCCCTGGGAGCTCCATTCCCACCTCCCCCACTTCCCAGCTCCATTCCCACCACGCATGGTGCTTGAAGGAGCATTCAGAACGGTGGGTTGCCAGGCGGTGGCCATGGCCATGGCAGCTGGGGACGCAGTGCCTCCCCTCCTGACACCCTGCACCGAGGCTGTACTCCCACTGTCCGAGTCAGTAGGGAAGGGTGGGGCCGAGCACGCGACAGTCTGGGTTGTGGTCTGTCACTCTGTGAGCCAGTGAGACCTAGGGTGTCAGGGCTCCCCAGCTCCCCAGAAGGGGCCAGAGACACCCCTCCTTCACAGACACCCAGACCTTCCTGTCTTGCCTCTATTCAGCTTCTTGTCTAGTTAACCAGTAAAAACCGGTGTTCTTGCGTGGCAGTCTGCAGGACAGTTCTAGGGAGCAGAGTGCCATGCATGCCCCTTGACCATGGAGTCTCAGTGAGGCCCTTCAGATGGGTGTTCGGCCGGAGGCACCTGCCGCGTGGGCGCATCCCACCCCCTGCTCCTCCCCGACAGATGCTTGGCATACATGTCTGGGCTGCGGGGCTCCCGGCCAGGGTCTTCTCAGCTGACGCAAATGACACAGCCAGCCTGTCTGCTTGTCCCCCTGCCCATGGGCTGCTCAGGAGACCGTGTGAGACACAGGGCCTGGCAGTGACCCAGGAGCCTGTGCCTGTTTATACGGACAGCCGTCAAGTCTAGTGTCGCCTTCTGCCTACAGCATGTCGGGAGGGAGTTGGAGAAGTGACCATGAATACACTAGAAGCCTGCGGCCGCGTGTCCCAAACCAAGACAAAGGGGCTCCTGGCAGCACAGCCAGGGGCCCCTTAATCACAGGTCTTCACGCTGGGGCGGTGACACAGCTGGGCGACAGGCTCTGGGCACCCTGAAAGCGAACACCCTGTCCAAAAATCACAAGAGAGTTGTGTAGTCCAAGCCTGAGTGTCAGCTTCAGGCTGCTCCCTGTCAGCCTGTGAACGCTGCCGAGGCCACGACCTCTCCCTGCGTGATGGACAGTCATGTGTGACATTGACACAGACGTGCCTTGCTGGCCCGGCACCCGAGACCCCAGGCGGCTGACATTGGGCAGCTACAGGGAGCTGCGTTCCAGGCAGCACCGCCGGGAATCCTCCCACATGCTCTGCGCCCAGCTTTCCCGCGGCTGTCCGCCACCCAGGTGGCCCCTGTCGGCCTTGGGCCTGCCCTGGCCTTCTGTCTGGCCTGGGTGGCTCTGTGAGTGTCCCAGAGGCCACGGCTGTTGTTCTGGCATCACCCGGTCATGTTTCCATCCCAAAGGAAGCAGCAGGTTGGCTGCCAGAATCCCCGGGAGAAACTGAGACTCACGTCCAGCTTGCTCGTGTGTAGCCAGGATGGAGAGAGCTGGCCTGGCCTTTCCACACAGAGCTCCACGCCCACACGCCACTCCCTCTCGTAGTTCCGTTTCCTGGACTGCCGGGAGCGCTGGGCATTGATGCACCACAGGTGCTGTCGCTCCTGAGGTATTCCGAGTAAGAAGCCTGCAGCGTTCGCGTCCAGGTGCTGTGCTTTGTGGTAGCTGCGGATCAACGAATGGAAGCTCGGATGAGTGGGGAGCTGTGGTGGTGCCAGTGGAGACCAGGATGTGTCAGGCCCAAGGGTGGCCTTGGGTGGTGCTCAGTGGCACCCACAGGTGGGAGCTTGAAGGAAGTGGATCTTGACGCAGATGTAAACTGGGCCATCACAGAGGAGTGGGCTCGAGCAGGGCCACAGCCGTCGTGCTGTTCCTGGCGGACCAGGTTTAGGCTGCGTGCAGGGAGAGCTCTGGGGTGCTAAGGATTCCAGGCCCTCTGGAATCCCACGATGAAGTTGCAGCCTGGGGCCCACAGCCCCGTTCAGCGGTGCCGGGGCGGACGGGCCCCGTCAGCCGGCAACACATTCATGCAAGTTTGCATCCAGCGCTAATTTCCCGGCTCTCCTGGCGAAAAGGCTGACGTCGAGAGGTTAAGTGGCTTTCTTGTCCAGGGTCAGGTTGCTGGTAGGTGACCGAAGCGTCTCTTCATTTTCTGCCTCCAACCCTTTCCGCCAGGCGAGAAGCGAGCCTTTGAGGTGTGCGGGGCAGCCTTTGAATCTCCGAGTGGGGCTGATACTCCTCAGGTGCCAGGGAAAGATGCCGTCTTTTATGCACGGTTGCCAATACCTGGACGTTGTGTAGCAAAGATTTGCCTTTAAAAATTCAGAGCAGGTTGTGCAGCAAGCCGGGGCCCTCCGCGCCCCAGGGGAGCTCACGCAGCTTTGTTGTAAAGGTCTCAGGAGGCATTCGTTTCATCCTGGTCCCCTGGCTCCCACCGCTTGTTCTGCGGCAGCAGCGAGCGAGCTGTTCCTCGCAGCCGCATTTGCTGGGCCCACAGCTGCATTTGCTGGGCCCGTAGCAGATCCCCCAGATGCTGGGCCGTTTCATCTGGAGCAGAGGAGGTCACAAACCTGGCTTTCGCTTCCTTTCACTCTCTCAAGGGGAGCCAGGCGTCCCGGGTCCCAGCTTCTTGGCTGGCAGGAGGCCCGAGGAGGCAGAGCCCAGGTCCTCACTCCCTGTACCCTGGGGGCCGGAGGTCCATGTTCCGAAAGAAAAACGCGTATTCGGTTGCACACGTTCGGGTAGCAGAGCTGTCCTCTAGCGTAATCCTGCCTGCTGCGGACCTGGCGTGAAGTGTTCTTACCTAACAACCCTGGGTCGCATTGTCTCTAGTTGGAGTGCTGTGTGATTGTAGCTTAAAAACTCTCGTTTGGCGACCAGACGGGATGGCGTCCAAGCACCTCCCGCCTCGGAGGTTGTGTCTGAGGAGTCGGTGTTCCGGAAAGCAGTTTGGAGTGGAATTAAGAATGGCACATAAACCCCGCAGGTTCCTTCTCCCTAAGCCCGAGGCTAGGTGGGAGCTGCCCCTCCGTGAGCCTGGAGCTGGGTAAGGATGAAGTGGGCTCCCTGCCCATTGCAATTGGCAAAGCAGCTTTTTTACGGCCACGCAACATGAACGAAGCCGTAGAAGTCTGAGTGCTGGGTTTTTTCTCCCGTCACGCCCCAGGCACAGCTCACACGGGCGTGCTGAGTCAGGGCCCGCCCCTGTGGCCGTCACAGCGTCTCCATCTCGGCAGCTCTCCCGGCTGTGGTCGTGGAAGGCTCCTGAGAGCTGACTGCGCAAGTGTCACCGTCACTTGTCACTCTTGGGTCTCCAAGCACCCCACCAGTGCCCTGGCATCGTCTTTGTTTAAATGTGGCAGCTCCTGGGAAAGGAAAGGGAAGCAGAGACCCCCTGTCGCCAGCGACGTGAAAACTTTGTAACCAACAGTCGTTTTGATGCAGCAGGGATTTCTTAATTAACTCCCTTATTAAGGAGCAGTTGGCTGTTGCATCCGAATAGCTGAGCCCTTAATTACGGCACATATGAGAAGAGGGACAAAGTCAAATAAAACCGGACTCAGAGCCCGTGCCTAGGAAGCAGACCCAGAGTAGTCATCCGGTCAGGGTACCGCGAGGCCGGCTGCGTCTCACCGCCTCTGGCTCCGTGGACTGGGGGAGACCCATGCGTCCCGGTGGAACCAGCTGAGCTTTGCAGAGGGGACTTCCCAAGCCGTAACTGCAGCTTCCCAGAGAACGAACTCGCCGTAACTGAGTAGATCTGGGTTTACAGTTCTACACTGACAGCGTAGATTGGGCACAGCTGCCTCAAAAGCCGTCCCGCCGGGTACAGTCCGGCCGCCACAAACACATGCAAGCTGTCAGCGCTCTCAGATCCTTTGTGCAAGTCCGCAGGTCGGAAATAAACAAAGATGAGTTGGTCCCAGCGGGGGCAGCCGGAACAGAGGGTTCCCCATCATGATGAACCGGTGGACCAGATAAGGATTTGGGGCACTTTCTTTCTTTCTTTTTTTTTTTTTTTAAAGCCCATGTGAGCAACAAGGGTTAGTGTTGGTGGCTCTGAAATTCAGTAAGCTGGAGCACCCCCGCACGCTGAACGCCGTGCTCGGGGCTCGGGGCAGGTGAG